TAAAACTCTGGTACCCCCAAGTTCTGACAGATAGGAGACCAGTCCTAAAAGCTCAAGTAATGTTACTTCATTAGGATTTGAGGGCATGGAGTTTGCAGAAGGCATCCCTCATATAAGGAATGTCTCCTTTGTGCCCCTCTCTTGCCCAGGTAACTAGGCTAGCGATTCACATTTAAAAGGAAGACACTTTCCACACCACTGAGAGTCTCCATCTGCTGGTGCAGAACAAAGGGAAGTGGGACTAGTCATGCTCCCCTCCCAACCGCAACAAAGAAAATAATGCAAAACTTCCTTTATCTCAAAGGGCTAAACCAACTATTACCGTAAAGCTGAAACACCACCTCAAACCTGGCCTCATCTTCCACAATGAATTAACACACACCCCGTAGAAAAACATCACCAGCAAGCCCTAGAGCAGACAGGTCTACAGTTGGCAGGGATGGGCCAAAGCATAGCAGCTTCAGAGGACAAATACGTTCCTAGGTGCAATCCCTCCTTGCAGTTTGCAAGAGCTAAGCAGCAATCTCAGCCCTGAGGAGGTTCGCCATGGCTACACAGAAGGGGCACGTAGCCAAGAGGAATCCTTCTTCTGGAATGACCCACACATGGTTATGTCCCCCTTGTAAATAAAGTAAAGCCAGCATTAGAGATTAGGCTCAAAAACACTACAAACCTCTGCTGTTTGTTTTGAGCTGGAAGGTGCTTGTACCAAAACTGCTGGATCAGTGCTCCTGGTCTCTCATCTGACTGACTGGAAGGTAGGCACCTGGAGACTGGCTTCTGTCTCTGTGACAGTCCAGAATACAAGCCATTGTATAGGAAACTACAAAACCCTTAAAGAAGGCGAATTTCCACCAAGGCAGATCCTTTCTAGCAAGATCAAAAGAAAGTCCAGGCATAACTGCTCTGCCCATACCTTTACCAATACTCAGTCCTCACTCTCCAGAGGGACAGCAGAAGAGGACACAGTGGTGCAGTACTAGGCATTAACCCATCCAAGCCTTCCCTTTGCTGCATTTCTAACAAGGCTGGCACTTTCTCTCTGACTGCAGCTGGGAAAACAGTTTCCTAAAGCAGGATTTTGGGGACTGAAAGTGAGAGTACATCAGCTCAGCTAACATCCATATTGAGTAGTACCAAACAGCAGCCTTTGGTTCATCTTTGAATCTTCTAACATTATACAAAAAATGAGTAACAGAGAGTTTAGAAGAGACAACATTAAGCAAATAAAATCTCCAGATGAGAGAGGCACTGGAGTTCTGCGGTAAGATACAGAGGCCTTTGAGGAGATAAACCCAAGCACATCCACTACTGAACAGTTGTCTACAAGACAATGAGGTGTGTTAAGCAAGATGACAAGCAATGTTGATGGGATAAGCTATGGCTTTGTCTATCCCAACGGAGAACAGATGCTCAAAATTAACCTCTTGCTTCTGATATGCGTCTTTCTTATAGTTCCTGTCCCTGCTTTGCACTAGGGTTATTTCTCTGGTGCCCATAAAGGAGTGCTGCAGGTCTCTGGAAAGGCACGTAGTGAAGAAAGTGGAAAACACTTTCTGTAAAGGCAACTCAGTTAATAGCATACTCGTCATCTTGCTGGCTGTGCTGCTTAGATGCTTGTCAGGTGCTTAGCTACTTGGGCATTAGGCACATTAGAAATACTACTTTTTGGATGGATAGAGCAAACAGCTAGATCAGGCTCAGAGGACAGGCAGAAAATGTCCATTTGCCAAACCAGAAGCGGTTTCCTACCCATACAGAACTGTTAGTAAAACACTGGCAGATGTAAAAAAAGTGCCCCAGTTCTGTCTTTTCAATGGGTATAATTTCAACCTAGTTGAAACACAAACCACAACCTCCGGCTGTGCATTTCAGTGCAAACTGCTCTTATCTCATACAACCCTGAATGAAACATTAGCACAAAGGCAGCCTAATCAGAGGAGGATCTTCTCTTCCCTCCCCTCAAATCCTAATCATTGCACACAATCCCATAGCTAACGGCGGAGAAAAAACACCTGTTTCTGGCAAAATACTTGCACTGCAAAGATGTTAAGTTAAGCAAAAACAAAAACAAGATCAAGCCCTAGGCTGGATACAGACTCACCACAGGGAGCTGTTCTGAATATACAGAGTATGAGGTGGACTTGGCTATGTTAGCAGGCCTTCCTCGCCCCCCCATAGCAGCAGAGAAGGCATGCTGCAGCAATATGGCAAGCTATACCTGGAGCAAAATTTAGCACAGGAGGTCCTGGGCTCTGGCACAAGTTTAGGGAGCACTCCGGAGGGTGGCATTTTTCTCATTCATGACTGAACAGCCACCACCAAGAAAGAAAATAAAAATAATGAGATGCTACACTGAACAGCCATCTCCCTTTTATTTTCAAATCTGAGCACTTTCCCAAATGAAGACATTCCTCCCATCTGCAATTCATATTTGGAAAACTTCCCTACATCCTAACTAGGGAATTTACTTTCTGATTGCATTTTCTGGTCTTACAGTCTAGCTGAGCTTTCCTAGAGAGAGCCCCTAACTTTGTTTTAATTCAGTGCTCAAACCAGAATATATCATATAGGGACCAGCTCAAGATGAAGACATAACTAGCAGTGAGTAAAAATAATGACACCATTAAAAAGCACATGGTTCTGACTATCAGAAATGCTGAAGAAGCAAAGTTTCTATGGAATAAAATTAGCATGAGTTGCAGAAACTTAGCCATTTTAAAAAAATAAGAGCAATTACGTCCTTTAGTTTTTGCCATGTTTGTTATTTTCACCTCTCTCTTCTCAGAGATGAAACGGAGCTGGCCAGCTCTTTCTCCTATTCAGGTCAGCTTTGCTCTCTGGGCGGTCAGATGGCTGGCACAGAGCTGCAGAGACAGGACTTCCCACACTTCAGGGGAATGCTGAAGTGGGGTTATTTTCTAAACATCAAACTATTCCTGTTCACCATGTACTCTGCTTTCAAATTAAAAAAAAAAAAACACTACCAACAAAAAAAACAAAACAATCCAAGCGTCCAACCCTGTAAGGCTTCATAACAAGTTTTTTGAACCTGGGGTAGAAGGGATGGGAATATATTTTCCTAGTTATGGGAAATAATGAGAAAACCAACGTTTCTGGATATGATATGCTGGATAATAACTAATTAGAAGTCTGTTGCTGAGCCCATTCTGCCAGTCAGCCCCAGTGAGAAAAACACAGTGCAAAAGATCTTTTGCACTGATGAACTTAAAAGCAAAAGAGGGGCAGCATGGTGGGAGGAAGGGCAAAGACAGGCACACAGCATGGAAATGACTTGCCTGGAGCAACCACACAAGTAGGCAGAAAAACGGTGAAAATAACCTGTCTCCTTATTCCCTTAGCCCTGTTCCTAGAACTAGTTTGGGAATGAACTGGGGGAAGATGGAGGGGCAACACCAATTTGAACATGGTGGTTGTTCCAGGTAACCTGTATCTTCCCAAAGAGGAACCAAAGATGGGGGCAGGGGGAGATGGCTATTATTAATGTCCTTCTGTATATAGCAAAGCAGACATCCTGCATAATGGCAACACAATACATCAATAATAGCCCAAGAATAGCTTCCTACCATTTTTTTTCCCCGTGACAGTTAGAAACATAAAGAGAAAAATCAAGCTGCTGAGATAAATAGCTGAGTCTCCACCCCCACCTCAAATTGCCTTGGCATATTTTAGAAGATAAATGGTTCTATGAGAAATTTAAATAGCTTTCTCTTTTCTTTTTTGGCAGCTGCAGGAACTGGGTCAGGTGTAGAAATTATTAATTTCGAAGCCTGAAAAGCCCATGTTTGAAAGTAAGGGTTTTTTTTTTTTTCTTTTAAGCATCAACTTTCTTAGAAGTAGAGTTAGAAAAAATTAAAAAACAATTGTGCTTTTTACAAAAGTCAGACCAAAAATGATTAAATAATAGTGCATCCTGCAGCAAAGACAATTTGCATATTAGTTCTATGGACATTAAAAGTATCCATAGCAGATGGTTAATTTTTTTTTGTATAGAGTATAGTATTGGCACAATGGCTTTTGTTCCTCTTGATCAAACATAGCACTGTGACTATGGCTTAAAGACTGGGGGGCACCGTTCCGCAATTTTAACCAAATTTTAGTACTCACTTCAAAAGAGATAAGAGATTAACGCCAGAGTGACCAGCACCAAACATTTTCACAAGTAGTCCACTTACTCATAGCTAGGTTTCAGGATTGACACCCCAATGAGCTGACTTGCTTGAGGCTGCACTTCAGGGTGCTCAGTGCTGGTGAACCTGACATTGAATCACTTGTAAATCACTGCTTTCCCACTTCCACTCAAGTTACTCTTGATTTACATTGATACCAGGTTATGCAGTTCAGCTTGTCTGTATGATGCCAAAAACTCCCTCTCCCTCTTCATGCTATATCTGGAAGGATCTCTTTGCAACCATAAGGACTAGAATCTTAAAGAAAAGAAAAGTCAAATCCTGTAGAAACTTCTCTGAGCAAAGAAATGTTGATACATACACTCCCTCACTGGATAGTACACTAGTTAAGACCTGTAAAAGGTTCACATTTCCAGTCCTACAAAGTTTCCAAGATCTTGAAGGATAAACAACTGGCATGCAGCCCACTCTCTTCACTGCATGGCTGGTATAATTCACTGCTACACATGCGCTGTGTTCCAAGTCCCAGATCAGGCAGATACGTGAGAAAGAGGAGCACTCCGTCATTTAGACCCACTGCACCTCCACAGGCCTCACAGTCTGTGCTGTTCTTCCTTTAGTGACCAATCAAAAATTTGAATGGTGACAAAGGTGCAGATGTAAATAGAACTGCAATGCCTAGAAAGTCAGAACTTAGATAGGATCAGAAGATAGACTGTAATTACAGGCCCTGCTACTTATTACATAGGCCAGTTGTGTTACATGAGCCTTCTGTGGAAACTTCCTGTGTAATTAATAAAGGAGAAATAGAATACTTTTGCAATCACTTTTCTAGGTTTCACTGTGGGGGTCCAATCCTGCCATCCTGGATTAGCTCTAATCATAGTCAATCTTTCTTCACATCAACTGAAGGCATCTGTTCTACAAGAATTTCAAAAAAAACCCAACAAACTCATTGCAAACCTACACCATGCAATCAAGCAGGAAAGGAAATTGATCCTGAAAACCCCCACCCAGATCGTAATCTGACAACGTTTTCAAGGCTTCTGGCAGAAAAGAAGAAGGAAAAAGAATGCTATGAAATATTTAAAATCCTACTTCTGTCAGGAATACATAAGAGGGAAAGGTGATTTGCAAAGGGCTGCATTATTTGTAAGCCAAAAATGAAAGAACCACCTTCCGCATAGGCACACAGACGCCCTTGGCCCAAGCAAGAGCAGTCCTGAGAACAAGCACTAGGCACTGATTCAGCAGGGACTGGCATGACAGCATTAAGGCTGGTGAGCAGGACCAAAGAGCCTGCCCTGCATGCTGGCGTATGCACAGTGGGAAGTCAAGGGTAAGGCAAACGAGAGAGTTACTAATACCGCAGAAGAGCTGAGCGTTCACAGCCCACAACTGATCCTCCTCATCTAAAGCTTACATCAGATTTTCAACAGAGATGAGAAACAGGACATCCCAGGGACAAATTTCTCCTAAAAACATTCCCCTTGCCACTCTCACTCTTACCAAAAAAGGACATCCAAGGGAGGGGAAAACTGCCCTGTGGGATTTGTGATGCACTGAATGGCACTTTACTTTGCTCCAGCCTCTTGCCCTCTCCATCCTTAAATCCCCACCAGCATGGAGCGCCTTTTGAGAAAGACCTTAGCCAGGTCTGGCTGCTAGGCTAGTCCCAACTTGTGTCACTAAAAGGAGGCTCAGCTCAAGGCCCTACATGCCCTGGTGTCACAGGAGGGGAGCAGCAAAGCAGACAGGTGTTGAACTGCTCTTTGCCTTGGCTGCATCCACTTGCCTGGAGCCCAGTCCCAGTGGAAACGGTAAAAGACTTCAGGACAAGCGCTGAACACGCAAATGGGACCAAAATGGTTCTGATAAGCTGAAACAAAAGTCACTCTGGAACAAAACCAGCACAGCCACAACCCCCGCAGCACTTGTGCAAGATAGAAAGAACGAACCCCTAGAATGTACGTATCCAAAGCCATTTTATGCAGATTTTTGCTTCTGAATATTTAAAACAGGGTGAATATTAAACTTCAGAGATTCTTAATATGTTCCAAAGCCCCACGGACCTTTGAAATGCTAGCTCATCAATATGCAACATCTAATCTTATCAAAAAAAAGAGGGAGAAAAAAAAGCTATTCATCCTTTGCTCGTAGAGGTTACAGAAAGAATCCTAAGGAAAAAAACTTCCAGCATCTTATGCAATAGCTTAAATTTACAGTGGCTGGGAAAGTTTCACTTTCTGCAAGAAAGAGGGAAAGTGACTGTACGTGCATTGCTGCTGGAAGCTTCTTCTGAAGTGTGAGGCTGAAACTGTGTAGCTGGATTACAGTAAGTAGCTTATTAAAAAACCAAGGCTTGTGGCTTTGCATCCTCTTCCAGTCAAATGTCATCTCAGGATCCCCCTTCCAAAGGCCAGCAGACAGTGCGCCACCTAAAAATGCATTCTTGTCCAAAATGCTGTGGTTAAAATGGCTTTGCTTGTTTATAAAGTTTAGTGTTTCGTATCGCTTGCATCTGACCTTCAGCAGAAAGAAAAGCTCAGTTAAATTGTGCAAATATGTACCAAATGGGAGCAAGGGAAAGCGGCCAAAAAATGCTGCATGAGCTTTTGCAGGGCTGCAGCCTTTCAGGAGCACCAGTGAGATGAACTGGATGAGAGGCCACATTGATTTAGGCTCCAGGCAGGAGCTTAAAACACCGTGACATCCAAATTCAAAAAGAAAATGTTCTGTTACGGCAACCCCAGATTTTCTGCACAGGAAAACACCTTTTTCTTTCATCTTTAGGAGATGCTAGTTCTGTAATCTGACATTTAAAAATGAACAAACAAGCAGGAGTCAGCTGACAAAAGATTCTTACTGCTGAATGGAAGTAGGTCACACTGAGTATTTTGCCTTTACAGTCTGGCTTAATATTAGTGTTGTACACAAAACAGCAACAAAACTGCACTGGAGACACGGAAAGACTCTAATTTTGTCTTTCCAATGACTGTCAGCATTAACATTCTGCATTAATGTGCAATGCCTCCCCAGCTCCCCAGTACCTGATATCTAGTTAATTAAAAAACAAAACAAAACAAAACAAATCTCACTGGTCCGCCTGCATTTAAAGACATCTAAGTATGAATACTTGGGCAGAGAGGAATTTTCCTGAAGAAACATAAAAGAAAATGAAAGCTCTACATACAAGACAAAATAAAATCTTCTGTCTCTCACAAACGCAAATTCTGGCTGCCCTTTTACATAAATATATTAAAGGAATAAAACTGGAGGAAAAAATAAAAGAGGCAACGCTAATAAATTCATTTTTGGAGAAAAAATATTTAAAAACAAACAAACTATCCTTCAAACAAATTTCTTCATGATAAATCCCTGCAATCATGTGGTTCTAAATTACACGGTTAAACATGACTGAAAAAGTAAGGCACAATTTCACAATCATTTTAAAAGCAATAATTATAATCATTTTCTTTGATATCCATGCGGCAGGCCACTGGTACTACGGATGCACAAAACTACTTGATTAAAGATCTGAAAAAGTTTTTCCAGCTACTGGCTAAGACTTACAATACCTCTGTGAAGCAAGTTACATACCATCTTCACTACAAAGACGAATGCATGTTGAGCAAAGGGAAAAAGAGGGTAAGAGAGCTGCTTGCAGACAGCAGGAGACAGAGGCAGAAACGTAAAGAGAACCTGAGTGCCAGATTCCTAGCGAGGGACTCTAGCCCCAGGGAAATGTAAAGGTAACGCCACCACTCGGGGCTTCTTCTTCCTTCTTCATTTTCGAAAAGATCTAGGTAAAATGAGAGATATGGTCTCAAAAAAAGAGAAAAAGAACTGAGTGCTATTGACGCTAATGATCAATCCATGAAGCACTTGCTTATACATGTCAGAAGAAGCCAAAAGAGACTGGGAACAGGCGGTTAGCAGTAGAGCCCAGTGGGGTATAAGCAGTACTGCCTGTATTTCTACGTAGCTGCAGGCCCATAACCATCTTTTGTGTGCGTGTGAGCGCGTATGCCAAAGCGGGCTGCCATGTTCCAGCTTAGTGTTTTCAAACCACAGCAGAGAACTTGCAGGCTAACGATGAGAACTGTGTCCCCAAAGGCCACCAGGTCTTAGGTTATGTCTTTCCCTTGCATTTTTACATGAATGCTATAATTTCACAAATGGTTAAACCTACTCTCTCTCGCAACGCTCAGTAGCTCCAAACACCAGATAGGCGATCAGTTGTTGCAAATACAAGCTTGAAACGCTGAGGAAGACAGGGAGTATTTCTAGAAATGTTTGAGGAGAAATGCCATTCGCAAACCCAGAAGAATATAGGGAGACTGAAGTTCAATCAGTATCTCTTGATATTCATGGTGGCGGCCATAAAATGCTTCTGTTCACTGATTTCAGGGTAAGCCCCCGAAAATCACAATTGCCACAGAAAAAGACGTGGGCAGTCCCTGTAGCCAGCCACTCCATGGCTTTAAGACGGAAAAGAAAAATAAGCCCAACAGAAGTAACACTGTTATTTTAAGAAGAGTCACATTATTTGGATTTTTCTGACAAAAGCAATAGTGACTTCAAAGTTAGCAAAACTAGTCAACAATAGGGGAAAACATCTTGTGAAAAGTTTCAGAGGTCCAATTATACCAGCTCCAATACAGAACCATTTTCCAAGAATATAGCTGGTTTTTAAACAGGATTTTTACCTAATAAATTTTCAAAATTGTGATAGAAACTTTAATTTACCAGCAAAAGAAACCCAATAACCAAAAAAATTGAAAAAGAAGAGATGGGTTTTGAGAAATGAAAATATTTGTTAACAACTCTGAAATCTGTTTAGATAAAAATTCTCAATATGGTTTTAATTAAAATAGCAAGAAAAACTGTTGTGGATAACATTGCAAAAACAAGAAAATTTCTCATTTAAAAAAAGGTCCTTCTCACATCACATAATTTAGTGTAAAAATTGTGACCAGCTCTAACTGGAAATAGTGTTCTCACAGCTCTCTCTGTAATTTGTACTTAATTTGTTCTTACTAACCTCTAGATAGTACTAAGTAGTTCCTGCTGTCCTTTGGCAACAAACCCTCAATTACCATCACTAATGTTTTCTATTGAGAATTTCACCACAGTGAAATTCTTCAGTACGTTTTTCTCTGCTAGCCCTGACTTACAGTATTCTAATCTATAGAAAGTGTAATCAGCACAGCTTAGTGAACAAATATCAAAGCAACACGTTGAATCAACTGCAGGAACCAGGTATCAATAAAAAGCAATTAAAAACTCCAATCCTTTTTGAGCTGTTTAGCTGAGGCACCAGGTATCTAATACTGCTATTTCTTACACTGAAGGAGGACAAAGACACAGGATTTCCCTTACAGACCTTCTCTGGGATTCAATTATCCCTCATCTGCTGGAGTTTCTCAAAATTAAAAGAAATGGTATTGTAAAATCAGCATTTATCAAGCCTAGGCTAGGCCTGGCTGACCTCAACCAGGTAGGAACCACTGCAGCTTCAACAAGAAGATTTCAGCTATGACTTGCTGCATATTCTCTTCAACATCCACCGTTTCTCTAAAAGACACCTCATCCTCAGTCTCCTCAGGCACATTTTGCTAATAGGCAGAAGGGCAACTTAAGGTCTATGTCTCATTCAAGTCCTGCTTCTGCCACCAGGCTGAATGCTGTATGTAGAGTTCACTATGACAAACACTTTGCTACTCCCACACCTCTATGATTAAGTCATTGCCCAAGTGTTTTGCAGCTATGATAAAAATCTAAAGAATTAAAATATTAAAAAAAAAAAAACAAAATAAAGGTGCATTATCTGATAGGCTAAAGCAATGGTGTTGCTTTGTGTTTTTAAAAGCAACATTCAGGCAATGATTAAAATAAGTGACAATAAAACCATCACATTCACAAAACACTAGTTTTAGCCTTGGGGATATGCTTAAGGATTGGGCCGTAACCAAGGCAACCTAATCTTCTGTAAAAAGTTTAAATAGACATTTAAAGCCATGGTTCAAAGATACAGTAAATCTGGCTGTAGGGCTACTTGTGAAATACGGGAAGTGCCAAAGCCACCCGACACAAAGCCCCAATCTTGTATTATTAACTCACTCTCCCGTTGTACAAACATTATGTTGGATCAGCTACTGCTTGTCCTCCTGCAGCCGGCCTAAAGGCAACACGGGAGCTGTATCAGGCGTTCTGGGTAATTTGACAGAAATGTGACTGTGCCCACATCCTGCCCAGATCAAATCTGTATGACTGAGTGATACAGAATCAGTCTGGTATTAGTGACTGTAGAACCATGGCTTAAGAGCAACTTCAAGCCTATACCTAAACAAACCCCATGGGCTTAAATATTTTGCTAAATTACAACCTGATCCTGGACCTTCTTGGGCCCTATCTGGTCACAAAAACATGGGATCAAGTTCTACTTGCCAACAAATATCAGAAAAAACCAAGGCAGCACAAGCAAAAATTCTGCAGACTCAAACAGAAATGTCTGTGTGATCTTCCAGTTCTTTCTGAAAGGAACATTTTGGACATTACCATAGCCACAGATGATGTGAATTTTTTTCATGGCTAAGAAGTGCATCTTAAAAAAAGCAAGGTCTCTTTGGCAAAAAGACTCCTTCTTTGGAACAGATAAATGAGGATATATAATAAATACATGATAAAGATTATGATGAAGCAATATCCCAATGGTTCTTAACTGCAGTGCAATGGAGACAGGCCCACCAGCATTTCCTAATTAAATCCTGATGCATCAAGGGGAGATTTCCATACACAGGTGGTTGATGAGAGCCTCTATGCTACATGTACATAGGTGCAATTTATTTCAAATATATTGATAGCAATTTTTGAAGCCAAACCACATGCATTACAGAAAATGAAGAGTATTTTGGACACTCGCTCCTTTCAACAGGTAGTTGGATTTAGCATTTCAGAGGTGAAAGAAAAAGCATGATAGTATCTTTGCCCAGATACGCCAGGTATAGAAATTAGCCATAATGCATCAAACAAGAGCACTGCTCAAGCTTTGTCAAACTGCTTCCACCCAAGGTGTACACAATGCTTGAAAAGTTTGGCTCTCACCTCCCTGCACACCAGCCCAACTCACCACAGCACCCTAATCACAGCGAGATTCAGATCTAGATGTGCTAGCTGGCCCTTAACTTTCAAATAGACAGGAATCCCAAACCTACATACCACAGATACCCCAAAGGTTTTAACGTTCTGAGTCTCTTATCTAGACCACATTCTGCATGCAGCTGCAACAACCTGCTCCCACCAGTTTGCCCAGTGTTATTCAGGAGAGTCTCATCAGCCACCTGATTTAAAACTAACAAGAATAAGGAAGTTCAGAGTGTGTTTGCTGCCTGATGACTGGCTTGCTCTGTGCCAGCGTACATCACACCCCTTCCTGTACTTTCAAGAGACATAAAATCCTCCACAGAGATACGGTGGAAGTTGTCATCCCAGCTTTGAACTTCCATATTTTTGTAGGGCTAGTTCAAACCGGATTTGCTCAATAGTTGTGAGGGTTTTTGATGGTGCCACACTTAGGGAGCCCAGATGGAATCTGGCAGGAGTCACGGTACAAAAATAATCTGTTTATGTTCGAGGAAGCAAAATTCTTGAAGGCCAGGGTAGAAATCTAGTATAAAAAGGTTAACTGCTTCAGCACAGCCACTACGGTGGAGAACGATTTCTTTTGCTTACTGATGCCACCCTTCTATAAAGAGGATTCATTCTGACCTGCAAATTTTGGAAATCTCCCCTGACATCAGCGGACCTTGCTAACATACAAACCATGTAAGGAATAGAGATTTCAGATCTATGTTTCTGTATCCGAATTCACTGTTGACAGTTAAAGCTATTAAATTTCACAGTGTTCTTCCATAAAGGTTAGTGTCTAAACTGAAAGGAAATGTACCATTTGCAGGAGCTGTAGTCAGTACCTCACTTCTTCCTCTTCATTTCCTATTGGTCCATCTCATCTAACTTTTTTTTTTTTCTTTTCTGCATTAGTGGGTATAACTATACTGGGCTTCTGTTACAGAGATTAAAGAAGAAAGCATCGCAGTCTCCTTGTTCTTCAGTGGGTGTGTGAAAAAGAAACTGTTAGAACTTAATCTTGAAAAGTGCCAGTTTGTTACTAATATGGTCAATCAGCCCGCAACTGTTTCAGTTTTGCTTCTTAATTTGTTAAGTGCACAGAAAGGTATTTTCTTTGATTACATCTGCAAATAAGATATTAATGTCAATTCAATGATATGAAAATTACTCCCTCACTATGTAATTTGCACCTTAGTTATTATGGGTTTCATGAACGAGAATGTTATAGCTGCATAGAATAAGCCATGGATTTATAATTTCTTTTTTAATTAACAAAATTAAAAAAAGCCTCCACTAACAACAGGAAAAAAAAAAAAAAAAGAGGTGCCTGTGCCCAGCTTTTTATTTGCCTTGGCGTAAGTATTAATTCTGGACAGAGGATAAAAATGCTGCTCCTTCTGCAATGACATTTCACCAGAGAGAAGTAATAAGCAATTGAGATGAAAATGAAAGAGGAAAAAATTGCTTGCTTTTTGGGAGGCACAGAGAAGGGTTTAACACCTACTTTAGCTTTCTTAAGCTAAAAACTGAACTACAGCATGTATATATAATTTTTTTTTTTTTTTTTTTACCAGAACTCCAAATCAAGTACACTACCATTAGTGAATCATGTTCTTGTCTATCCCAAGACTTCATTCAGTTCCTGTTACAGTTGATGGGAATCTACCCCTTACAGGAGACGGAACAAGACTCCATTGCTTACACATCTATCTGCCTGGAAACCAGCACTGCCATTGGGCCCTCTATAATGGGACACGTGAAAGAGTGGCATAAGATTTTTTTGAGCAACCCTTTGCACTGCAGTTCTGTGTAGTAAAGTTTCTTGTAACCACTGGGATTTTAAAAGGTATTTCCAGCCCCAGATCCTTAAAAGACCTTCTCAACAGGCATAATTAGCTTTATACCTCTAGTAAATCAAAAGCACATTTTGTGTTTGTGCGTGTGTGTGTAGTGTGTAGTTTGTGTGTGTGTGTGTGTGTGTGTGTGTGTGTGTGTGTAGTGTGCCTGTGTATAGTGTGTGCAAGCTCACATCCTTCTGTGATTGCTCATACATCTGTGAATTGGAAGCATCACTACCAAATAAATTTATGCAGTAGCAAAATATAATTTCATAAGAAAAAGGAAAAAAAACCTATTGAACTGGAAGGGAATGGAGACAAGAAAGGGCCTAAGAAAAAGATGTAGATAACAAATCCGTGTCCTAAAGATATGAGGTCACACCTACACTCTTACGTGCAGTACATCTGAAGTTGCATGGTTTGTGTTGTGATGAGAGAGGTGCTGGTTCTATTCTCACCCTGGTTTTACACCTTCTGTTACAATGGAGTGACTTCTTCTGGTGATCCAGTTCCCATTAAAGTCAATGGGAAGGTCCCCAAGACTTCAAAGAGAGAGGGGTCAGGTTCTCAAGAGGACTTAGGAGAAGAATCTAGCTCAGCCACCTTCATGTGCTTCTTGGGAGATAGGAATCAAACACAAATATTTTTAGGACCATGTTCAGACCTCCTTCTATAGGCACATAACTTTGGTGCTGTGACCCCTTCCCTCCATTAATTGCAGAGATAGCAGGTGGTCTAACTGACTCACCACCCACCTGAATAGTCACATTTAAATTAGGTGCCTATCACAGGCAGTCTGAACACGGCCTTTACAACGGCCCTCTTGCTCCAAGGCCTTCCAGTTTTACTTTTTTTAAAGAAAGACTTAGGCTCTAGGCTGGAAAGAAATCATGCAAAGCTTGTGCAATTCTCCCAACAGGCAGTCTGGGGAGGGTCACAGTTGCTACTCAGAGATCAGTGCTGGCCTTAGCAGTAAGAGCCTGGATCCGAGCTGAGTTGCAGGTCTTGCAAAGGATGTGTCCATCCAGAGGGTAACAGCCCTGATTGTCCCCTTCAGACAGGAGGCCGCCACAGTCCTAGGCAATAAGCAAACAGAAAGACCAAAGTGAAAAAGAAAAAAGAATAAGATTAACCAAAGAATCTATCAGTCAAAGAAACTCTCCTCACTCTACACTTTGTAACAGGATCCTGCCTGAGTCAGCATAAAGCATGAAGCTGAGGTATGTGATGTCTTTCATGATTAAGCCATTTCCTGATAAGAGACAATGCTGCAGAGAAGACGGGTTCCCAAGCTCTCTGCTAAATTTAATCCAATTGAAAATAAAAAGAGATTATTCCCTTCACATTTCTGAGGAAGGAAAGGTCTTTAGCATTGGAGAAACCATCAAACTTAAGCACATATTTATTAATGCAAAAAAGGATCAAAAAGAAGCACCCCTGGGAAGGAAGTTTGGTACTAATATCTGACTACAGGTAATCTCCTTCGGAAGAGTTAATGCACAAAGCTCTAGCAGCCCTTCCAGAGGTAACAGCCTAGCAAACCTTCTGCCTATCTCCCGTTACCAGAACGGTCACCCATACTCATACTGCAGCTGGCCCAAAAGGTTGTGACCAAAAGGAAGATTTCACTGAGGCAGCTGCAGTAGACACCCCACTACAAGGCCCAAACCCTGCCCCAGAGACCTCAGAATCTAAACAGCTAAATACAGCAGCTAGGAAAAGTCAGCCCTCGTGGTGCAGTCAGGCAGTCGTTTAGCCACAGAGTTCTGACAGGGCTGTGGTGAGGGGATCGCAGCTTTCTTGGAGGGCATCGCCCTTCATCATAAATCTGTGTTTGTAAATACACCTGAGAAGAAAGAGGTGGAAAATAAAGAAAAAATGTTGTCCCTTTTGAGACAGAGAGCTGGGGCACACGGAGACAAAGGCCAAGATGAAAAACGATTTTCAGACATCGTGCCACATAGGACTACTCTACCTCACCACTTTGGGAGTCTCGCTCTCATTTTTACTGTCTGACTGATTTGCAGCTCCTCTGGGAACATCTGTGTTATGCAGAGATCATAGTGCAGTGACTTCTGAACCAGCAAATCCACATGAATGCTCCAGGTCAAGTCCACAGCAGTTTAACTGCATGTGAGATGATGCTCCAAGCTAATAACGTACAGTCCTGGGACCTGCGTTGGCCATTGTGGAGTTGTGTGAGTGTCTGTGTCCTGTGCTCTCCACTGCATCTACCTCTGCTATTTAGATGCGTGGAGAAAGCTTTGGTATCTCAGCAGCCAGAGGACTTGCCGCTCTGCAAAACTGAGCATAGGGATGCCCCAACATCTTTAAAAACTGGGCCTAAGTAACGGGTGACATATACCTTGGAAGCCAATGTCAGAACTGAGAATCGAACCAGATGTCTCAAGTCTCAGCCTAGACCTTTAAACATTAGTTCATCCTTTCCAGTTAAAGTTATTAAAAACTGCAACTGCAATAAGAAATATGTTTGGTCTCATTTTCTTTCCCTGCCATCTGGCTGATATATTATCCAAAAAGTAACACTTGCACTGAAGAATTCTTGAAGGTTCCCTAGCACAGCTGTTACCACATGTTAATTGCTTTAAGGTGATTTTTCTTCTCTGTCTTCAGATTCTTACCATCAAAATTATATGAAGTGCGTAATGAAACTGAACAGGATAAGTAGCACAAAAAAGCATTGCACAAAACAAGAATGATCATGTTTATGTGTCCATTAAAATTTTTCAACCCAGAGCCATATGCCGAGTTTCCTGTACAATCTTGCTCAAATTCTAACATGCATTAGCGTTCATTTTAAGAACATAAACATGAGCAATGTTTGTGTCCAAGCCATAATTTATGATGTTCTCAAATATTAAGCTCTAATTAACTGAGTCACATTCTCTTGCTCTCCTAATGAACCTGTTATAAACAAGGGACCTGATTTTCTTCTCATTTGCACTGATATAAATGAAGAAAAACTCCTTGCATGCTGAAGTCAATGAAGTAATTTGATTTTAGAGCCAGTGTTACAATAGGGTATGCCCATCCTGTATGTAACATGAGACTGTAATGAAATTAAGCCAACCTATGCTTTCTCACCTTCACATCATTAGAACACTAACCTCACACCGGTAGCACTGGACGTGGAAGTCACGATCCAAGGCGACAATGCGTACGGTCTCCTCTTGTCCCGGGGCTGGCATAATAGGCTCCTTACACACTGAACATCTCGGAGCAAATTTCCTTAAGAAAGAAGACATGGTCCCGGTCATCCTCAAACTCAGAGCCAAAGTCTTTGTCAAGTGCATCAGCAAGCCAGAAATGTACGCACATGTACAAACACACGTATACATATATCACAGTTTGCATCTGCACACAACTACCTCCTCAGAGCTAGGAAGGAGCACTTCAGTCTTGCAACTCAATCTCAATCTTGCAGAATATCGAAGAACATTGTACTGACTATTAGGAGAAGCAGCAAAGCATATTCTATTTGCCCTAAATAACAATTAAATTGTCTTTTGAGTGACCCATGATTGTGACACCTATGTACTCCTGCAACCTTTAGGCTCAATCCTAGCATAACTCTAGGAGAGTTCATGGAACACCTAATGACCAGGAGAAATCATCAGGATTGGCTCCAACAGCATCTCTTGAAAAAACACTGAAATATTAAAAATCAGAGATGGAACAAAAAGGTCAAGAGTCTTAACTGGGATAAACAGATGGGCCTCACACTAATTTCTTGGGGTTTATCCCATCCATTTAAACCTCTCAACATCATTCCCATTAAGAACACAGGGATACAATTCTGGCTGGGCTCAGTCTCAAACACAAGCAGCGTCAGGGCAAATCTGAGCAGCTGCACCTTCTACCTAGAGTCAACTCAGCTACCCATTAGTGGGTTACCCAGGCTTGGAAAGGAACGGGTCTAGGTGCAAAGACACCAATGCTTGCCTCTCCTTCAGTCGGCCTGGGTCAGGATTGTATTGTCACAGTCACTAGCAGTATGAAGGGATTGGCTCAAACTAGAGTTAGCTCAGAGATCAAGAGGAGCACAAACTTTTCTTTTCCTCTTACATGCTCCACTGTATGCCCTTCTGGCTAATTTGTGTGTTCTGCATTAGCTCTGGCTTTGCTCCCCATGACTGCCCATGAGGAGTTACGATCTCTACTCCCAGGGAAATGGGGATATACGGAAACAGTTAGCCTGTAGTAAACCTTTATTCACTGTTTTGGTGCAAAACCTACGGGTAGCAATTCCCTGGCTGCAAATTCTGCTCACAAAAGAGAAACATACCTACAGAATCTGTTGCCATTTAATGAGAGCCCAGGGTCATGGGCTGTGGAGAGACAGAGGGCAATGCTTATGGCAAACATCAGAACGTGAGGAGATCAAAGGCCCTCCTCTTCTGAAATGCCTAGGAAAGATCGACTCCGCCACCCAGCCTGTCACATGAACCACCCCAGAATGAACTAGCTAAAAAAAAAAAAAAAAAATTATCTGTAGTAGGAATAAAGAAAAATATTAATTTCACTGGCAGCAGATGAAAGATGTCTGTGTAGCTGCGATCTAATGAAAAAATGAATTAAACAGTGGCTACAGTGAGTGCTCTGAAAAATAACTTAAATGGATCATGATATGACCGGCGCTGTAATCGCAGTTAATTATATGCTGCTTCATGCAGGCACTTCCTTGTACCATTTAGCTCAACCGTGGTGCTTAAAAATACTTTAACATTTCTCTGTCCAGGCCACTGTGGGTAATTCATTATGGGCCAAACATCAACCGCAGTGAACTGGAGATGACTCTTGCTAATTTCAGGGGACTTGGATTGTGCTACTGGGGGCACCAAGTTCAGGGGGCAGCTAAGCGACAGTGTGAGCATCAGGTATAGTTTTGTTATCAAGACGACGTACAAGGCGGTAGCGCACTCCACTCGCAGACCAGGGGGACACTCCATCCCCAGCTAGTTACAGCTGGGCTGGCCCAAGTGCTGTTGACCGTGTGGCAGCCTGGCTAAAGGCATTCTGAATGTCCGACAAGGTCTCTGACTATTCCCATGATCTTTCCCTCACAGATTTGGTGTCCTTTCCTCAGATGGACAGTTACCCACTTCCCACTAAGAGCTCCAAGGTACAGATCTGGTCGCTGCCAAAAGACTTCAAGGTGGGACATCAGCCCTTACTCCAACCTTTCTCCTGAAGGGATGTGAGCCCCTGGCTCACAGTGCTTGGGGGAAGAAGAGTCTCCAAATCATATTGAGGTGCGAGGAAAACCCTTTGGGATCCTGACTGGTGTTTTAGCCTTCTGTTGGGCTTCTGCCCATGACTGAATTTTGCCTTGCACATGATCTCCAGCACAGAAAGCAAGACAACACACCACCGCTTCAGCACCTGCCAATTAGCCTGGCCCATCTGAGCCACAGAGAACATTCTCCTGCTGGAGTTCAACGTGCTGGTTGATCACGTCTGCTTTCCTTTCTGACAAGTCAGCCTGCTTCTTTGAGCTTTCAGGCCCACACACTGATGTCACGAGGCGCTAATTAAATCTACCCCCTTAGAAATTAAGAGATAAATGGTTGAGATGTAAACTCACATTTGTCAGTATTGATTTTCTTTTTTAATTGAGGGGTGTAATGCATCTGTCTTTTCCATACAGGGGAAACATTTGTGCTCTGATTATATCTACCTGTCTTCCTTAGATTAGCTGTGATGATGGGGGGGGGGTAGTGGTGGCAGTGACAGAAACTACTTGCAACTATACCTTTCAACTTACCTTAAATTGCAATTTCACTATAAATTATTACCGGGGCTGTATTTTTAGCACCTTTAAAAAGCTAATTAGCAAGAGTAGCTGTGAGCATCCTGTGGCCAGCTAGATCCTTCTAGCCTGTAAGCAAACACCTGCAGAGTGCAGCTGAACAGGACCTCTCTTAATTGCTCCATGGAAGAAGGGGGGTAGACACAGATGTGGAAATGCAGGTACAACCAGCCAAGGGAAACGTGCACATGCTGCAGAGCAGCATAAGGCAGGAGGGAATGCAGAACAGAGGAACACAGACTCTTTATCTATAAATTCAGACCTAAGAGAAACAGGGATCAAGGAGTACCAGCCACTAACCAATTAATCTTGCATGCCACAGTGCATGCTTGAAGCAAAGCTCCACCTACTTAACAGTCCTGAAAGTAAGTAGCAGCATGTACAGATCTCTCTGGACATACAGGTCTAAAAGGGAGGATTTTTAGAAATAAAAGACAAAGACAATAAGCAAAGCCATGGAGAGAAGCTTAAGTCATACTTGTGGAAATCCTCGATGCAGTGGATGTTCCCACCAGCATCCACAGTGAAGGGGATCCCATCCAGGCTGCGATGGCACATCACACAGGTGAAGCAGTGGGGATGGTAGGCCTTCCCAGTAGCTCGGAGTATCCTTTCCATGATGGGCTTCGCACAGACACTGCATTGCTCCAGCGTGTTCTGCAAAGAAAACATACACACCAGATGTGAGCAGGTGTCAGCAGAACATTTATAAAGGTCAGCTAGGTTGGAGGCTGCTGCTGGTCTACAGAGAAGCTTTAGGTACTTTCTTTTCATCTGTTCTAGATAAGGGCAGTACACCCACCAAAGACTATGATAACAGCACAGGGTCCAGGTCAGAACTGTAGTGAAAACACAAAGCAGCGTAATTGCTGAGAGAAAACCAGAGCCTTCCCTCAGCAGCTCTAATAAATGATCAGAGGTGGCTCATCGGGCAAGTGTATCTGAGCTATGGCAGTTTCTGTAGCCAACAGCACAGGAGAGAATAACGCAGCCTGCACTTCTGTGTGTTTGCCTTCAGACTGCCCTACCTGAACAACCTTTTGCAGCTGAGTTGATTAGAGACAGCTTCCAGGATGTGTGCAGTGCAAAGCTCAAGCTCACACTCCTGGGGCTATACCGAGACCCCTTAACTGCTCTGTCAATGTAGCTCTCCTAAAGGATCTTTATCTGCCTTGTAAGTAAATCTTGATCTTTCTCTCCCACCAGAGAGACTTCTGTTGAGCCCAGGGAGAAAACAAAGCTGTGTCTGCAATGAAAGCCTTATGAGGACAGGAGTTCAGGGTGACCTCATTTGCTCATTTATCTCTAGCCCCAGATGTTTGAGATAATGACTGTTAAATGCCAGTTCTAAGGCCACACTCCTCAGCTCATGGGTTTTACATACCAGCCTGTTCCTGAAGCATTGAAGCCAAAACCCCACCTTTCAAGTGGGCTCTATTGAATGATTCATCTAATTCCAACCTCACTTGCCCCTGCAGTCAGTTACAAAAACACCAACATAAGTTTGCTTCAGATGGTTGTCTGTGGGGCACATCAGCCCCTCTGACAACAGTTGTGCAAAGTGCCCTTTCAAACAAAACACCTGAAAGATACACACTATTAATTGAGGGTGCATTCAACTTCGACAGATGCAAAAGATAAATCTGTGGCAAGATCAGTAGGCTCATTTCACTGGACTTTGGGAAAGAGAATTTCACTCACTACCCTTGCTCGATATGTCTAGAGTTATCAAATAACGCTATCAACCAACATTTGAATTTCAGATGAAGCAGAAAGTCTACAATTGTTGGGAAATGCAGAAAAGGAGGGGAGGAAACAAATGAAAAGATCGAATAGGACAAAAATATAAAAAGCTGCTGAAGGGCAGATCATGTGGACAAACAAAGGAAGGCTAAAGCTCTTCTGCTTCCTCATGCAACAAAATTCCCAGGGAAAGTAATGCTTTGACTGACTGCACTGTTATTGCTGCTTTGAGCCAATATTCTCAGGGGTGAGATCCAGTCCTTACATGTACAGCCAAAATGTATTGTCAGGAGATGAATCACCCAGGAGCTCAGAGAGGTTACTTTTATACTTAGACATATGCTATTGGACTTTACCTCTGGGCTGCAAATCACTGGTAAGATACAAATAGACTTACAGCCTCAAAATTACACATAAATACACAGGTTCATATCAGAAGATCAAAAAGATGTTTTTTGGGTCAACAGGAAAAGTCCCGAATTTCAACCCATAAGAGAACTGCCTAACACATTTGTAAAGAGAACACAGCCAGACTGGGGTTGGTTTCAGGCTAGGTTTTGCTTTATGCCTTGTAATAATGGGCAGGAAAGAATTACTGCTGGCCTTTCTGTCTGGTTGCTGTCACCATCATCATCATTATAACAGTGTCTGGTATGCCAGAAAAAGCAAGGTCAGTAATTTTCTCCTTGGAGGAGTAACCTGGCAAATTCACTATTTTGCCTTGCATAAGCAGATCACATCATCTCAGTCCATACTCATGCTGTTCCTTGGATTGCCAAGGAGGGAATGCTGCTGCGTATCTGCAGATACTGAAGTAAGACTGTGCCACTCACTAAGGCATTTTCTATGACAGCTTTTAAATATGTGTTGGTACTGAGTGTTTGCATCACCAAGTCTCTACTTGCTTACTGTTTCCAACGCTGGCCAACAACAGAGGCCAAAGGAACAGGGCAAGCAAAATACAGTAATTCCTTCGGATATGCTCCCAGCCTCCAGCGATTTCTGGCTGAGGGACTTCCTGAGCTAGAGCTGCCATCTCTGTATTTAATAACCTTGAGTGGATGTTTCTCCCAGGAACTTTCCTGATCGCTTCTGAATTCTGATAAGCGTTGAATACCCACAACACGGCCAGGAGACCCACAGCTTACCTTTTCCCTTGGGATCTGATCTGCTAGGCAGTTTCCACAGTCTGTTACAACAGCTGATGTAACAGTGCTCCAGAAAGCAAAATGCAGCAAAACTGAGCAGAATCTACTTGGTACTTTGAACAGAGCAGAAACCAGCAGCTGCAATTCACCCAGCAACGTGAGGGAGGGATCAGCACAGGGACCAGTAAACCAAGGACCACACAGACTAGTGCTGACACACAATCAGCCGAGGGGGATGCGGAGTCAGCGTCCTGCTGCCAGGTGAACCTGCTGGGTAAGTATCATCTCTGCTACTTTTTCACAGTGGTACGAAGAGCAAAGTCAGGTGTGGAGCTCTCAAGACGCTCAATAGACACGCAAGTCAATATCATCCTCACCCAGAGGCATTTACAGTCTGAAGACCCAATCTTCCAATATATGTATTTAATAGCAGTGTGATCTGGAAAGGCTCTCACTACAAATCTAACAAAACTGCTACCCACTCTTTTTCGACATACAGAGAATAAGACCACAAGGGATCATTATAATCATCTTGTCTGACATCTTGCATAACACAAGCTCCTGACTTTGGTAGGAGTTTTGCAGTGACCAAGATAGGAGGTAATCATGCCTCTGGATTATGCCTTTGGAAAATGCAAGTCTTCTTGCTCCCAAATCTTAGCTCAGTCACACCGTTTGACATTCTTGCAGCTAAGCAAGACAAACGTTTTAAATTCCCCAACTCCTGACTAAACCTTCTATACAACCTTCTATACAACAAATCCGTCCTGAGAAATTTATTCTTTTCATCTTTCCAAGTCTGTACCAGTGAGGAAAAACACAGTCATTAGCTTCAGACTCCGGCTCACTCCCTGTCTGGGAGTTTATTTGCTTAAGCCTCTTTCCTTGCTAGAACCCTGGCTCAAACACTTCTCTAAGGTGTTACCAGAAGATGCCAAAAGGAAAGCTTCCTTGCTTCACACCCATTTGACATCAGGTTGCTGTAAGGCAGGATCTGGCCTTTGGAGCTAACAGGGTTTTCTTTGATTCTCTAATCAGGTTATCCTACGTGCTTATATGCTGCCCCAGCAGCTAACAACCTGCACAAAGGTATTTCTGCACATTATGGGAACAGCACTGCTGCAGAATTACAAGTTTGGCTGCATGATTTTTGCTCTCTTTTGCAGTTTGTCCCACTCTTTCAGCACCTCCTGGAGCTTTCAGGCCTCCAGAAAACCAAACAATATGAAAAAAAAGAACGACGGTCCTGTTTTTTGCTTTTCTCCCAAGCTGCCATCACCACCACTCCCAGTAATCAAGAGTCAGAGCTAGGCGCCTCTGAAGAGCAGTGCATAGGGCCAAAGTGAAACGTAGAGAAAAATGGTTAAGAGCCAGCTAGGAAACACCAGGCCTAAGGGCTACGATGGAAAGTCATCTCATCAGGATACGGCCCATAAATCCTACGGGGGCTGGAGGAGGAAGTTTATCATCATTTTCCTGGGGTTTTGGCTAAGAGGCAAGGAACATCCTCCTTTTTTGGAGACTTTTTTGCCTTTGGACAAATCTTACTAATTTTTTTTTTTTGGTTTTGAAAAGGTTGGGGAAGGAACAATTGACGTAATCCACTTCTAAACTGAAGGTTGGCCCAATGTTAAAGCACTGCCTCAAATAACATTAAGACTTTGGGAAGGCTGATTTTGGGATCCAGGTCTCCTGAATGCAGAACTGCTTATTCATGGCTAAGAAAGATAATCTCACCTGGGGAGAATATTGAACCCTCGTGTACTGGTAGAAGAAATAACCCTAAGCAAAGATGCCACCAAACACAGGCAAAGAATGATTCAAATGACCAGGACATCAAAGCATTAGCTTGTGGATAAAAAAATAAGTGGGTTAAACATGTGCAGCACAATCAGCATCAAAGTAGGAACAAGCTGCTGGGGAACAAGTATCTGACAGTTGGGATGGGGAGAGTTATTCGAGGGGTCCCTATAGTGATGCTTGGCCTCTCATAAACAGCAGAGAAGAAAAGGGAGCTGCTCTACAGATGGTGAGCTTGTGAAATCAAGTAAAAAACCAGGCTGCTGAGAACGACTTCTGGGGTGCAAGAGCCATTAAAGATCGAAAATGTGAAGTGGCTGAATCCCCCTCTTGAAAGCTTCCCATTCCAGACAGAAAGCTGGCCAGCAACTGGCGTGGAGGGAGCAGAGCTGTGGTGACAGCCAGGCAGACCGTGGGCTGGAGCACATCCTGCTTCCCTCATTTTGGAGATTATAACCCCTCGCAACCAAATTTTGGGTGACAGCACTAACTCCCAATATGGCGCAGCACAAGGTCCCTCCCACAATGACCTAGCAATGAACACAGAAGAAAAGCCACACGGAGCTTAGTTATTGTTTCTTAAATATTGGCAACAAATCTGGAGCTCTAATGAACAGAAATAACCTCTCCCGCGCTCTGGACAGCAGACAGAGGAGAGATCATGCATGGGACATAAGCGTGCTTTCTGTGAGCACTGCAGAAGAAACACATTTTCCGGAGTGGCTGCACAGAAGAGATGGTACTAGCTGTGGGAATCAAAAGTATGTATGTTGTGCTAAAAACAGGCACATGGTCAACTACTGTAGTTGAACTGTAACTTAGTAAAGTGTGGTAAGTGAATTGCTTTAAATCTTGTGACTCCATTCTTCATTTCCTCAGACTGTGAGGAAAACAGAGAAAAAAAAACATTTTCCCCATTGTGGGGTAATTTCTGAGGCTTGAAACTATTTCCATACTTAAGTGAAG